TAGGTAGGTAGGTAGGTAGGTGCTGGCTCATATAATTCTTGATTTTAATCTCTCCAACGGTAAAAGAGATGATTTTGACGGCTGACAAATTCTTCAAAAATAAGATTAAGTTTATTTTCAATTTTAATTTTTTTTTTAAAAAGCACCATAGAAAACTAAATTTCCGTAAAAAATTAGTGTTTATTAATTACTTTTTTATCTTCAAACATTTTTATTAAAGTATCTTTATATCTATACTAGTTTTCATCTAACGACTTATCAAAGTATATATTATATATATTTGGCTTTTTATGTCGGTTTGTTTACTTATCAAAATCCAATTAACGTCAAAACGGCTGAACCGGTCGATTCCAAATTTTTGGTGTCAATTCACATAACCCAAAGGAAGGGTTATGGCTGGTCAAAATTGATAAATTGTGTCTGAAAAAATGTCGATTTGTTTAAATTTTATAAATCCAACAATGTTAATTAAGATAGTAAATCCGCAAAATATCGAGTTTTAAGAAAGGCGGCTAACGAGTTTCATAAATTGTGCTAAATTTGTTATGGGGCTAAACACTCTTAAAGCTTCTATATTTACCTTCCAAAATAAAATGTATACCAACATATCTATTTATCTATTCTAGATATTCTATAATATTTTTTGTTCGCCAATTCATCCTCCCAGAAATCTATCCATTCATCTATTTATCTTCCCAAGCTAGTATCTATTTATCTATCCATCCATTCATCTATTTAGCTTCCCAAGCTAGTATCTATTTATCTATTTATCTGTTACCAAGCATATGCTAGATTGTATAATTATAAATATTCTCTTATCTCACTAAAAAAACGTGTAATTTAATCCTTTATGTGTTAAGATTAAACTCCTAATCTTTATAGTTTGTTTATACATATACTAATATAACATTCTTAACTTACATCTACCCTTCTCGGCCCTTCAATATCCTCCTTCTATCTTCTTCCCTTCCACCCTTCCCATCCTTTTATGTCAGTCTCTTCCACCCTTTCCCAATCCTTTGTCAGTCTCTTCCACCCTTCACATCCTTTAATGTCAGTCTCTTCCACCCTTTCCCAGTCCTTTTATGTCAGTCTCTTCCACCATCCTTTTATATCAGTCCCTTCCACCCCTTCCCATCTTTTTAGTTCGTCCCTTCCACCCCATCCTATATGTTTATACCAATCCCTTCCACCCCTTCCCATCCTTTTAATTTGT